ACAGTCCCCCCCTCTGAAGAGGTATCCCTAAAATCTTTTAAGGATTAGATACATGCTAACAAATACTTTTGAAGTTTTTGGCCTTTGGAACAGAGTATGTTGCTAAGAAGCCCAAGGACATTACGAGTTTTAGCCAAGAAACTGGCTACTTTTCTTTGGGGTCTTTTAACATGGTTTTAATTTTTATTTTTCTAATAGATATCATGTTTAGAATCTTTTCATGTGTTTATTGGTCATTTGTATACCCTGGAGAAACATCTGTTTATATCCTTTGCTCATATTATAAGTTTAAATTAGATATGAGTTTGAAATGCTTATTTCCCCCGTTTTGTGAAGTTGCTGGTAGGTTAGCTTACCCTGATTTGTTTTTATTTAAAAGGTTTATGTTTATAATGTGTTTCAAAGAAGCAAATTAACACCATTAAGATATTCATCTAATTCCTTATGATTACATAGCAGGAAGTACTTTAAAAGATATATTTTAATCTTAATATTGGTCCTTTTTTCTTCTTGTAGGGAAAAGTAATAGAACCTCTGAAAGATTTTCATAAAGACGAAGTGCGGATATTAGGCAGAGAGCTTGGGCTTCCAGAGGAATTAGTTTCCAGGCATCCATTTCCAGGTAAAAAATGCAGTTGAGTTTTGTTTGATTTGTCTTTAGACCTTCATGTGGGTTCAGTTTAGACCATTCTGAATAATTTGTCTTTTTAGGGGATTATATGACATGACAGGAAAGATGACAGAACAAATCCGTTTAAATGTCTACTTTGTTTCTGTCATTTTATCACTTATCTCCATTATTTAAATATTATATGATTCCTGGGAGCCTAGCCTATAGTACTGCTGTCAGATAAGAAAACTGAGGCAGAGAGATATTTTAATAAAATTGCTATGGAATTCTTAGTTGTAGAGCTAGGATTTTTCTATTTTTTTGTTCTATATTTATATATTGTATATTCCAAGGAAGGAGAGTTAAAATTTGGCGCACCCCACCCCCACCCCTACTCCCTGCCTTGGCTCGCCTGGGCTCAGATGATCCTCCTTCCTCAGCCTCTCAAGTTAACTGGTACTGTAAGTATGTACCACTGTGCTCAGCTTGTTTCTCTAAACTGTTACGCTATATCTTACTTGTTTGAATGGATAAATCACTTCGTTCATGTGTAAAGCATTCTTTGCAAAATGCTGTATTGTCTAATTCATGGACAGCAGCTACTTTTTTAAAATATTTTGTTTATTATTTTTATTTTATGTGTATGCATGTATTGCATGTAGGTAAGTGCACCCGTGTTGTGCAGTGCTCACAGAATACAGAAGAGGCTGTCGGATCCCTTGGAACTGGAGTTATGGAAGTTGTTAGCTGCCATGTGGGTGCTGGGATTCAAACCTAGGTCTTCTGCAAGAACAGCCAGTGTTCTTAACCACTGAGCCATCTCTCCAGCCCCAGCAACAAAGTTTTAAGTAGTCATTTGCCATACATAGAAAAAAGTTGTGATACTTAACGTTAGCACCAAGAATCTTAATTATTTTATTTTGAGCTGGATTAATACTCACAACTCAGTTGTAGCTCTCATACTAGATGATAAATTAGAAGAATGTTCTAATTAAAAATACAATAATAGCCATGTATGATTTTAATTCCAGCACTTTGGAAGCAGGAGAAAGGGAATCTCTGTGAGTTTAAGGCAAGCCTGGTCTACATAGTGAGTTCCAGGCCTGCCAGGGCTGTATGATTGGGACCCTGTCTCAAACAAATAGCACTCCCACCCCAAAACAAAACACAGTACTAGCTAACATTAGGAAGTATAATGCTACACACGGTACTAACTGCTCTTAACTTACTGTCTTGCTTGATCCTCACACACAGAACAGAAACAGAAGCCCTAAGATTATCATGTTTTGCATATACAAAAATTTAAGAATGAATATAATTTGCCAAAAGTTATATGGAATAGAAACCTGGAGATAAAATTATGCCACCACTAATAAGCGTTTTACTTTAACTCCTACATTGCCTTCATAAACAGTGTTATGAAACACTGTTAAAGTCTAGTAAAGATCTTTAGTCCCTGAAGTGTGTGCTAAAGTCTATAAAGGATGGCTGTTTGGTATTCATGGAGGAGGACCAGGTTGGTCCTGCATCATTGGTTGTCATTTTATAAAACTCTGCTTTATATATTGAGTTTTCTAGCAAATAAAGATTTAATTTGCAGAACCCTTTCACTGCTTTAAAAACAAGTGTTGAGATGTTTCTGTAAATGAGACTGAGAACAGCTAATGGAGAACATGGCACAGCTTTCAGGTTCCTTGAGGTATTGCAAGTGATTTTTTTTTTTTTTTTTTTTTTTTTTTTTTTGGTCTTTTTGGAACAGGGTCTCCTTTTAGTCCCAGCTGGCCTGGTGCTTGCTATGTAGACCAGGCTGACCTTGAACTCACAGAGATCCACCTGCCTCTGCCTCCCCACTGCCACCATGCCTGGCTCTTTTTTTAAACAGCTGTTAAGTATTTTGTAAAATAGAAATATTAGCTCACACATTGGTAATTAAATCTATTTTCATTATTAGTTTTTAATACTATATGATTTCTTTAGTAGTAAAAATTACATAATAAGATGGCTCATTTTTGGTTTTGTGTGAATATGAAAAATTCCCTTAATAAAGAAATTTTAAGTAAATTGACAAACACAGTATGAATAAAATATTTACTGGAAAATTTTGTGGCAGTACATTGGGCCCTCAGGTTTTAGATGTGAAATTAGTTGCATTTAAAATTAAATACCTTGTTTTTTTCTATTATTTATTTATTTTGGCTAGAGATTGAATCCCAGATCCTTGTACCTGCTGAGCATATGTTCTACCTCTGCACTGCATTCTCAGCCATGAAATGAAACACCTACAAACTTTTAACTTGTACTGGAGATAGATGTCAGTGGTGGTAGAGCAGTTGCCCAGCATGAAGTCTGTGTGTGATCCCTGTCACTCCAAAACAAAAAAGGAAACAATCATAGCTAGACTTTAATTTTATAAGGATTTTATATTATGGAAAAATTTGCAGTTTTCTATTAAAAATTTAAGAATAATTTCATGTTCTAAACTGTTGTTGCTCTTTAGGTCCTGGCCTGGCAATCAGAGTTATATGTGCTGAAGAACCTTACATTTGTAAGGACTTTCCTGAAACCAACAATATTTTGAAAATAGTAGCTGATTTTTCTGCAAGTGTTAAGAAGGTAATTTGATATCTAGTCAGTTCAAAGAGTTGATTACTACTGTGTTCTTGTTTTTAAAAAAAATTGTCAAAGTCCTGAATGAACTGAAGTATCAGTTCAAGAAGGCAAAGCTCTTCGCTCTACCTAGTGCTCTAACAGTTCTACTCATGCATAAGTGTCTGGATATGACCCAAAGCAGTAGTTTTTCAATCTTGGTTGTGTTTTGGAGTCCTCTGAGGGAGGTAGGATTTTTGTTGTTGTTAAGTCAGCATTGTGACCTTCCTACCTCATCTTCCTGATTGCTGGGACTACAGGTGTACATCACATCTGGTGCCGAGGTAGCTTCTGAAGTATATTTTTTGACTTAGTTAATCTGGGGTTTGTAGCTGTGGTTGAGAACCACTATTTTAAAGAACTGGCTTTAGGAAGAGCAATGAGATAGAAGGAGAAAGATCTTAGATGTACAAGAAGGATTTGTAAGCAAAGGAAATTGTAAATGAGTAAAACTGAAACAAACATGGATCATGAAAAGTAACCGTAACAATATATTTGTTACTGTTTAAAAGCTGTGTAAATATATAAAATAATAAAATGTTTGTATTATTTGCCAAAAGGACAGAAAACTTGTTGTTTTTTATTTTTTTAAGTATCCATGTTAATACTTAAAGAGAACTATGAAAAGAATAGAAATAGAGGATTTAAGTCTTTAAAACCAGTAAAGAAGAAGTAAATGAACTGAGGGAAATGAAACCACGAGGTCAAAATGGCAAGAAAGGAGAAAAAAATAATAAAATGTGAAAAATAGGTGATAAGGAATTACAATCTCAATGTATATAAATTTAAGCCATATTTCTATCCTTAAATTTAGCTCCCAGGATTTCGGGTGTAGTGCATATTGGTCATATCCACATATGATCTGCTGTTAAAAGCCAGTGAGCTTTTAATGAGTGCATAATGTGGTGCTGAATACCTGCTATAGGCTTATGCCTATAATCCCAGCACTTGGGAGACAGAAACAGGTGGATTGCTGTGAGATTCAGGCTAGCCTGGTCTACATAGCAATTTCCAGGCTGGAGCTACAGGGAGACCCTCTCTTCAAAGAAGATAGAAAGAAAAAGAATGGGTGCTCTATATTTTGAAATCTGAAAAATGCCTGTCTTTTCTCAGCCTCATACACTGTTACAAAGAGTCAAGGCCTGTACGACAGAAGAGGACCAGGAGAAGCTCATGCAGATCACAAGTATGCACTCACTGAATGCGTTCTTGCTGCCAATCAAAACTGTAGGCGTGCAGGTGAGTTTTGTGAGTTCATTGACTGGGACATAACTCTGCAGTTTGTTCCTTCACTAAGTTTGAATTTGGAATTACTTTTGACAACTAAATATTAAAGTATATATGTTAAATTTAGAAAATTAGTAAAAGCAATTTTATAGAATGGCAGTGAGTGAATAAGCTCATAAGAACTAAATGCTTAGGCAGAGATTTTGTAGTTTGAGAATGCTTTTCACCTCCAACCAAAAGTAAAATTTTCAAAGAATTGCTACAAAGTTGGATTATTTCTCTTGAGAAGCAGCTACTGAGAGATCATGTCCTGTTAATCTGAGTGAAATGTACTGTGGCTTTAGAAGTCTCCTTTCCTTTGTTTTTGTTGTTATTTTGAGATACCATCTCCTGGTAGCCCCAGCTGGCCTGGAAATAGACCAGGCTTACCTCAGTCTCACAGAGATAGCGTGCCTCTGCCTCCTGAGTACTCAGACTAAAGGCATGTGTACCACTAGGAGCAGCTTGAAGTCTTTATAAGAATGTACCAGATGAATATGTAGGTGTTCAGTCTGTGGTTCTTGGACTGAATGTGGCCCTGGATAGCTATGAGAAGCCCAACATAGAATCACAAGCTTTCTTGAAAACAGTGAGACTTTATTTTGATTAAAAAAATTTTTTTTGAATATTTTATTATTTTTATTTTTATTTTATATATGTGAGTGTATTGCCTGCATGTAAATGCATCCATGTTGTACAATGTCACAGAGGTCAGAAGAAGGTGTCATATTCCCCTGGAACTGGAATTATGTATGGTGGTTAGCTGACATGTGGGTGTTGGGAATTGAACGTAGGTCCTCTGCAAGAGCAGTCAGTGCTCTTAATCACTGGTGCCATCTCTCCAGTCCCTTAAAATTATTTTTCATGCCAGATTTGGTGGTGCATGCCTGTAGTTCCAACACTTGGGAGGCAGACGCAAGCACATCTCTGTGAGATTGAGAACAACCTAATCTACTTGGGCCTGTCAGCTGGGGCTACAGGGAGACCCTGTCTCAAAAATACCAAAAAAAAAAGCTATTTTTATTTTATTATTGTATGTGTGAGTGAAAGAGAGAAACTACGATGCCTGAATGTTCTAACACATTCAGATTTTGATGTCAGCTTGTATATGCTCAGTATTTCTCTTCAGCATGTTTCCTTCTACAGCTATGATAGACAGCTAGTGGGTTTTTTTTTTTTTTTTTTTTTTTTTTATGCCTTTTTAGTTGTAAAAGTAGGAAAGAATAATAATAGTTCTCAGTTTTGAAATGCTGTTCATAAGACAGTTACATTAAACTACTTTTATATGATCCTCCAGCAAGTTTCCAAGGGAAAAAGGTAGAGGAGTTAGGCAAGAGGTTTCTTTTTCTGATAGAGTTTGTGGTTTAATAAAAACTAGTAGAAATACTAGTAGCTCTAAATGGTGCAAGTGCCAGTTAAATGTCCTCCCCTCTGCCCTCTTCTCGAAATGCTGTTCATAAGACAGTTACATTAAACTACTTTTATATGATCCTCCAGCAAGTTTCCAAGGGAAAAAGGTAGAGGAGTTAGGCAAGAGGTTTCTTTTTCTGATAGAGTTTGTGGTTTAATAAAAACTAGTAGAAATACTAGTAGCTCTAAATGGTGCAAGTGCCAGTTAAATGTCCTCCCCTCTGCCCTCTTCTCCCTGCTTAATTTTCCTTAGTGCACAGAGCGTCATCCTTATCAGGATGAATCTCAGTCAGTGGGTACAGATGACTCTGTTTCGTCGTAGATGATTGCCTTTATGCTTCCAAAGCATTGTATAATGTCTTCTTATAGTGAAATTATTTATGGGAACATTACCATTAACTGTTTTAGAGATTATTTCTCTTAACACTTAAATAATTTTTTTCTTAAATGCTAAGTTTAAATCCCTCCTTGCTCTAAATTTATATATAGTTGTACCTGTAATAATAAGATGATAGTTCATTATTACTTTTAAATAATGAAACTCAAAGATGGCTCAGCTAGTAAAGGCACTTGCTGCCAAACTTGATGACCTGTACTTATTTGAACTCCAGAACCCATAGGGTGGCAGGAGAGAACTGACTCCTGAAAGTGTCCTCTGGCCTCAACGAGCATGCTTCAGTGTGTAACATAAATTAATCAGTGTAAAAATATTAAGCTTTAACGTTATAGTTAATGGAAATGATAAAACCAGTTTGGTTATAGGACTCTTGACTAGCTTTCTTCCTTTTTAAAAGGCTGTACCTGTACACTGCTTATATCTTTAAATCACCTTTTTTGTGTGCGTGTGTCGGGGGGTATCTCCCTGTAGCCACCACTGGCCTGGAATTCACTATGTAGACCAGGCTGGCCTCAGAGAGTTCAGCCTGCCTCTGCCTCCCGAGTACGTGTATTAAAAGGCTACTACACCCTACTTAAATCACTAGTAAATCTTGGAATTGTATAACTAATTTTATTTTGGTGGTTTATGGATTATTTCACTTATATATAGCACATAAGTTCTTTTTGAGATCTGTTTTGATATTTACATGCAGATATCCTATATAAAAATCAAAATATAGACAGGTTGTTCTTTAAAAAATTTCCCTGTTATGTGAGGCCACAAGTTCAATTTCAACACAGTTAACAACAGTAGAAAAAAACTGAACTCTTAAGGGACTCTATTAAAGAGAATGTCTTAGCTCTGTTTGCTCACTGCTGTTACATAAGGAGTTGAGTTGAAATAATCCACCCCCCCTTTTTTTTTTCCAGAAAAGTTTTTAGTGTTTTCAGTAAATCAGTGTTTGAAGCATTATGATTTGTTTGATGATGACTGATTTCTTCTTTGAAATGAAACTTCCTGGGCATGGTAGCCCATGCTTATAATCTCAGCACTTGGTAAACTAAGTCAGGAGGATTGTGGCAACTTTGAAGCTATCTACAAAGAGAGTGTCTTAACACCCTCCTACTGTGACTTTATTATTCAAAAAACCTCACAAACCCAGATAAAAATCATGTCATGATTAATATGACACAAGGTCTATTTTTTCTAAATACCAAGGTAAACTATACTTGTATGAAGTCAAAATACATTTAAAACTGTATTTCTGCTAGTCAGGTTTTATAGCTGTCCCCCCAGAAATAAGTATTTTTAAAAGCACCTAAGAGATTATAAGATACCCATTATTGCCTTCTTTCTTGAACATCATGAACTAATCTTTCTATGCCTTAGCAAGTAGTAGGTAACCTTTAATTTCTCCTTCATATTTTACATGTGCCTTAATTTGACTTCTACTAGGGAGCACTAAAAACTCTTTTTAAGGGGCTAGAGTGATTGCCCAGTGGTTGGTTGAGTGCATACTGCTTTTTGCAGAGACCTGAGTTTGGTTAAGTGTTGGGGTCTTCTGTTATGCAAAGTAGAAATCTCTTCACGTCCTGATAGCTCATGAGCTCGGAAACCATGTGCTGCAGATTCCTTTCATAGCAGAGTGCCTTCCTGGCATCCTCCCTGACTCTTCTTTTAAAGTGCTCGCCACAAATACATGCCCTCTGGCACAGGAGCTACCAGGTTTTTAATCAGGCGTT